CTTATGTTTTTACATTAAAGTGAAAAACAATTAAAATAATGCGAATTTCAGTAAGACTAACTAATCATCATAAGTATGGAAAACAGTTAAAAGACAAGACAGTATCTTTAACTGATTAAACATTACTCACGACTGGAATAACAGTAATAAAAGTCAATCGCCACCTTAACAGTTTGAAACAGTATCACTAAACGATTAAAACAGTATTACTTTAAATCTAAAGAAAATATTACTAGAAAAAATTCCACGTGGACCAGGCAGCAGACGGGACTCCAACCGGCACCCTTCGCTATTCGGGCGAATGCACTGACCATTATGCTACCGCGTCTCTGACGGCCGTGTCGAATTCTTTCTAGCAATTAGTTATATTTTTTTTAAGAATTCTTTCTAGCTAGTGTTGATCTGTGGTCGTACATTAAATTCTACTGTTTAGGCACATTAAAATCTACTGTGATCGTACATTAAATTCTACTGTTTCCGCACATTAAAATCTACTGTGATCTTACATTAGAATCTACTGTTTGCGCACATTAGAATCTACTGTGATCTTACATTAGAATCTAATGATTGCGCACATTAAAACTTACTATGGACGTGCATTGAAATCTACCTTTTGCGCACATTAAAATCTACATATTAAAAGTTACTATGTCCGCACATTCAAACTTATCATTTACAGTAATTTTTTACTGTCTTTAAACAGTGAAATCTTTACTTTTGTCAAACATATAATTATAAACTTTAAACAGTATTTTTTGTTTAGAACAGTAAAATAGTTTAATGTTTAAACAAAAATGTTTTTTACTGCATAAAACAGTAAAATAATTTCTTGTTTAAAACAGTAAATAATTTAATGATTTAAACAATAGATTATATTGATGTTTATCACAGTTAAATTACTGTAACATAGTAAAAGTTTGAACTGTTTTCGGAACAGTAACAATTACTGACTTAGTCGGTAGGCTCAAATAAAACTATACAAAACAGTGAATATTTACGTTTTTTCAATATTATTTACTGTTTCTTTTTTTTCAGTGCAGTCATGACAGAACTTGACTCCAGGTAAAGGACCAACCGTGAGTCACACTTCATCTCTTTTTGTTCTCATATCCAGTTTACTAAACAAGTATCCAGTTATCAATTCAAAACAAGTTCAATCTGACAGTAATCCATTCCACTAAGAGGTGTTGCATAGAATGATGGAAAATGCGGCGTTTGAGTGAGATAACGCTCTCTACGGTGAAAGGGACCTGAGCAAATGAATGCTAACTGAGATTTACTGTATGTCGGAAGTTATTAACGTTACAAAATTAAATTATAATGACGAGCTTACTCGTCAGGAATCACTCGATGGTAGCGGTGTTAGTTAGGATCGAGGGCGCTGCTGACGTCATCAGGTTCAGTGAAATTTCACGCTACTTGATTTCGATAGAGATAATAACAACCGCTACCCCACAAAGTGAAGCGGCTCTATTTTACATAGCACAATTCAATTCGCTCGGTGGTTCTACTATTTCCTTGGATACGATACGTACGGATACGTGGCCAAACTCTAAACAGTATTATTTGAATATTTTTATCATGCCGTAAGAATTGAGTCAATATTCAATTACACCCTTCGAAAGATAATCGTATTATTTACCAAGAAACACGCTTTCTTACGGAGCCAGTGTAACTCGGCGGGTAAATGAATATCCTTTGAAATTTCAAGTAACTGCCAATGCAAAAAAATAATTAAACAGAAAGCTTATTAAGTGTTCTGTGTCTGCGTGAGTCACATAAAAACAACTGATATAATAACAATCGATTCTACTTACATTTTTAGGAGCAAACTTTTGAATAGACCCCGACTATAAAAAATAAAGATAAGCATAAACTATACTGACATGTGATGACTCACTTTTCTAATCCTGTTTAGAATTTGAACGTAAGAAGGTCGGTTTTGTCATTGTACGAGCATTACAATACTTTGGAAAGTAGATAATATCATAATATGGACAGTCTTAATCACCTCACGCACGTGTGCAGGCAATAATGTTATTTTCAGTGACGCGACGTTGAATCCAATTCTCATCCGCACGCAGCCATATAATATCTAAGCTAGACAATTCGTGAAAATGAAACCTTACCGCTAATGCAACAGGGCTTACCTTACCTACACTAAGGTCATATTGAAAAGCACTATCACTGCCTATCGTGTACATCAAAAAAACTTCTAATGAATTCATGAGTGTTGTAACGGTGCGGAGCGGGTATTATTGTCAGCCTTGTGACTGTTTTCTTTTTAAAGAAGTTTGAAAAATTGACGGCGAGAAAATGAGTCATCGCCTCCTCCCATTATATCAGGGCTCTTTGTTATTACGTCCGCTTTTACCTGTTGTTGCGCAGAGATTGTGACCCTAATAAACTGTCTAATAAAAAGAAATGTAAATATCAAAACTTACACTCAGAATACCGATTTGCAAATCTAAAAATTATAGTAAGCTCAGGTAAGTACAGTTACCTATAAATCCTAAAATAGATTTATCTATGTCAATCTGAATATGCTAACTACCTAACAAAACTATTATTTATTAATTTTAAGTTTATCATGTTCCGCAGTTTAAATTTAAAATAAAAATAACGCACAGTTATATACAGGTTATGTCGCAGTAAGATAGATAAAACCGTAATATAGTTATATCCCTAGGTATAAAATTATATACCGTAACATAGTTATATGAAAGCGATCTTATGGTCACAATCTATAATATGTTTATCTGACTAAACTAATCTAGTTAAATAGTTATAAGTCACCATAGAATCGAATAATGGTTTTTATTTTTATTGAAAAATCAACTTTTTGTAACTTGGAATTAGTTACAATACATTTTAGCCATTATAGGTATGATAAAGAAACTACAATTATTAATATAAAATATTTATATCGTATTTTGTATTTAAGCACTTGCGAAAAAATATAAATTAAAAAACTTGGTGTTTACTTAAAACTAATTAACAGCTTTGAGACTCTTTATTATGACAAGACCCGGAATCATGACATTTAACTCTTACAATTATTTCAATAAACTGAAACAAGTAATATAATTATCTTCTTTCGATTTAAACAATTTGCTGATTTTTTATCAATTATTTTTTCAATCTCAAAAATACAATGAATCTCGATATCGTCACATCTTTCAACATAAGTTCGAATTATGTTTTACATTATGTTTTACATATTAGTACAGGTGTTAATGAAAAGTAATATTTTTCGTTTCTCCTTTCCTTTCATTTTCTTGTCAAATAATAATGCCAAAATAATACTGAAGGACAAGCTCCGCTAAAAGTAATCGTGTCCTGTGTCGACCGAAACAAACATAACGTTCACAGCTGTGTTACTTAGAAAGTCAGGGCCGCGGTAGCATAACGGTCAGTGCATTCGCCCGGATAGCGAAGGGTTCGAGTCCCGTCTGCAGCCTGGTCCGCGTGGAATTTTTTCTAGTAATATTTTCTTTAGATTCAAACATCGAGCAGTTACAGGCTCGAAAAAATATAAATATTCGTCTTTGGGCAAGTATTCTACATAATACTGAAACTTCAGTTCTGTCACTCATTCCGTTAACGATTTAGAGAGAAACCGTTGACAAACATAGACAGACAGACTGACAACAATAGAATTCCGTTTTTACCATTTGGGTACGGAACCCTTAAAAAACAGAGTTGTATTAAAATTCCTCTCTTATTGATGTCGGTTGAAAATTTGCATCGAGAGCAATCTACAAGCGCGTAAAAAAATCATCCACGTTTTAATGTTACAGTGATAGTGTGGACTGTGTGGCCACTTAAATCGCATTATGCATCTACTAACAGCTATTAGAATGCAAACGACGTCGTCAGGGCGGTGAATTCATATTGTGTTCAGTAATATAACTACTCCGCTACACCTCATTAAAGCAAGAAGCCTCAAAAAAAGAACACAAACTTTCCTATAGGATACCTACATATTTCAAAAAATTCAGTCTAAACTTTTAACCGCATTGTTTTCCTATGTGTCTGTGCCTATAATTAAGGTTGAATCTTAAATTGACACTTTGATAAATACAATAATCCTTATAAAAGGGATCAAATACATAGAATTGTTTTGTTTGTAAACAGAGAGCAGACGGGTACGACGGTCATGTGATCCAACCATTACTTACGCTTTCTTCTCAGATTAAATAATAATGAACATTAAACAGAGTATCACAAACATATACTCTGTTTAAAGCACAAAACGAAATGTATGTTACTTGGTTTTTGGACGTTGATTATCCCAGTGACTTATTTAAGTGCGTACAATTGTGTTGTGAAAGTAATGTAATGCCGGCACTTAATTTGGCTATTGGCATTTGCTACTTGTAAACTTGATAGCAGGATGTCCTTACCATACTTTATAAAGAATGAAAAGGATAGACTGGTGTCAAGTTTACAAATAGCAAAAAGTCAACTTCGCCAAGACCTGGCAACATCACAGTTTGTCAAACTTAAAATTTATTGATGTATCAGCGGCCGTAAGTTTTTCAAATGACGTCACAGACAACCAGAGCGAATGTCTAATCGTAATCTTTTATTGCTACGCTCTAAGGCGTATCGGTACTTTAATCTTATTTCTATAATATTATCAACATTGAAATCTAGATTATTAAAACGATTGGGTAAGGTTACGAAATTCATTGAAATAAAAATAGAAGCGACATAATTCCAAAAGTTATGATGAAAAATATTATAAATGTTTATAAATATTATTAATAAGTAAAAGAAAATTAGTATAAAACAAAATATACATTTCCTTCGACTTGAAAATCCAAAATAAATGTTCGATAAGAATCAAAGGCAAAACTATACAACTGAAAGCTCAGTACACACAGTAGAATATAGTTACCGCATGCATTATATTTCATTGATGATATTGTTAAGAGTAGATAGATTCTCTCTGCGAATCCCGAGGACACGGCGTAAAGATAGACAGATAATCTTACCGAGCCTCAGTTCGCCGAAGTTGCCGCAGCCTATCTTCTTGCCGACCCTGAAGTTGGGGCCGACCATCAGCACGCCCGAGGACGAGGTGACGGAGTGCCGCGACGTGTGCATCGCGCTGCTGCCCACGCCGCGCCCGCCCACCGCGCCTGTAGCGCTGCAATACAGAAAAGACACCATAATCAATATTTCTAACGTAAGGCACGTGTTACAGGATACTAGGGATAGGGATATAATATATTCTATCAATTAGAATAGGTTAGGATATCGGTAGCGCAGGAGGTTAAAGCATTCGGCCTGCGATCGTGAAAGTTAAGCAATGATCGGTCATTGGATGGATGACCAAAAACTTATGATCTCAAGCTCCTCCGTACTTCGGAAGGCACGTTCAGACGTTGGTCCCGGCTGCATCTCAGTCGTTAGCACCCACCAATCCGCACTGGGCCCGCGTGGCGTTCAAGGCGTCATCTCCCTTTATGGAAGACCTGTGCCCTTGCACTGGGGACATTGATAGGCTAATGATAATTAATGATACTGGAATAGATTAAACAGTCATGCATGGTGTAGGAACAAATGTTCGTATTCATCATATAAAAACATGTGTCCCATCGAGATTCGAACCCAGAACCTCTGAGTAGGTGACACCTTGAAAAATTATGTTTGAGAACTGCTTTATTCAGTGTTTCATTTAATAATTGTCAAACTGTCTTCTTATCTTAATCTTACTCTAAGGCAAAGAGAAAGCATCACTTTAGTCAAACTTAAATATTAATGGACATCGCTGAAGGCGGACTTCAGCGATCAGTTCAGGCTAGCGCCACATAAAAATTAATTTATAAGGTTTTACCCTGTTCGGCTTAAGAGGGCACTTGTATCTATATCATGAAAGAATTAGCTTATAACAGCCAAATCCACGAACCCTTACAGGATCGGCAGCGAATAAAAGTGCTATTCCGATCTCAGCTGCAAACTGAAGTTGCTGGCTCCACTTGCAGCGACTTCAAGTAGCCAGGCTGCGGAAACACGACTGGTTTATATGTATTTGCGACGACCACCGTGGCCGAGTGGTATATACGCCGGGTTACACGGCGTCGCCTACTCAGAGGTTCCGGATTCGAATCCCGGTGGGGGCAAATGTCAGTATGATGCATTTGTGCCTTAGTAATGGATTTTATATGTACTTCTAGATAAATGTACTTAAATATGTATCAGTACATGTATTCTATCCGTTACCCTAGCGTCTCATAACTGGCCATAACATAAGCCTTACAGTGCTTACGTTGGGGCTAGGCTAATTGGTGTGAGTGTGGGAAATACATATTTACTTATTTATTTCATACAAATGCATATAAACCAGTTGTGCATCTGCAGCCTTTAGCCGAGTTCGGAATAGCACCTTACGCTTTTAGTATTACACAGCACAGCTTTAAAGTATCAAATACCATCTAGCAAGTTAGACTATTAAAGCTAGTTAATTCTATTTTAATACTAGAGACATCGTTAGAGGATCCCGCTTCAACTGATGTTTGTATATGGCGTTAATTGAGAGTTTATAAATACGGCCTGAGGACAGTTTCGGCAACTAATCTAGAGGATATGTTAGCTTGTTGTTATTATTAATGTCTAAGACTCAACCATCAGCATTACTATCATCATGTGTGAATAGTATTTTTTAAGTTCATGTTATAATTGAGTTGTTATCTGTCGCGTGTATCGAACCTTCGATATGTAATTGTATGTATTCTTAGTAAATATTTTTTTTGTTAAAAAATGGTCATATGAAATTAAATAATGTTATATGAAATAGAACTGTTTTAAGGGATTGGCGTGGATTGTTGCAGTAACTTAACGGTTGTAGCTCATCCATATCTATCGGCACAAAGTAAACAGATACAGAGCGGAAGCTCCTTAGTAAAGAGCAAAACGACCGCGAACATGATCTCGAGAAAACGCAATAGATTTTATGGAAGTTATTCGCGTATGTGTGCGGTCAAGCAAGTGTGCATTTGCCCGTTTTCCTTGTTATAATGGAGCTGCGCTTCTGTGTATTTGTTTTGTGCCGTCAGTTTGATAGCTCGCTATCGAACGAGACCGGTCAGAGTTCGAATATATCGGCAAAAGTACTACCATACGAACGGGGAGCGGGGAGATTTATTAAACATAAGCGTTTAAAAAAAATAGAATATAATTATTATTTCAAAACTTTGTTTTTTAAGAAATAAAAGTAGGAGAATATAATTATTGTTTCAAAAGTTTGTTTTTGTTGTTTATGGAATAAAAGTAGGTGGCACTGACTATCAAAAGGTTTTCTATCGAAATAAAATCCTTAAACTGTATAATAATTAACAAATCTATGGTCTACAAGTTCATGTATTTTACGTATTTGTATTACTAAATATGGGATTGATAAAAATAGAAACACCATGCTGCTACGTTGCTAAAAAGCACAGCCATGTCGAATTGAATCCGTTACTTCCAGGTAAACGCACCGGAAAATGGTAGCAAAAGCTACCATATCAACGAGAAGTCGAAAAGTGTTCCAGTTATCCTTTTGTTACTAACAAAGTTTATTTATTTTATTTAACACTAGCTGTGTCCCGCGGTGTTACCCGCGGTTTATTAGAGATATTTTCCCACGGTTAAACGTAGCCTATGTGTTAATATCCACGGTGTCAGCTAAGTCCCTACCAAATTTTATTAAAATAGTTCCAGCCGTTTAGACGTGAAGAAGTAACAAACATACACACTCACAAACTTCCGTCTTTATACTATTAGTGTGATAAGTACTTTCGTAATCGTTAACCTAGCGTAAAGTATCAATTTTCCAAATTATAGTCTATTTCTAGGATTGATATCTCATTATCATTTCCAATAAGTGTATAAATTAATCAGTTAGACGAGTTTTGATATGTACATTATTACATCATTAACGCCGACTAAAATGCAGTAAAACACGTTTTCCATTAACAAAGGAACGAACAGAAGACCGGTTTTTTATTATTAATAATATTACGGATGGCATTTTCTTTACGTAAAAAGGCTAAAAATAACTTCATCATCTAGAGCCTAACCCGAAGAGCCTGGAACTGAACTCTCACACAGAAACATGCCACTAACATGTGGTCTTTTTCAAGGGCACGGTTGAAAATTATCAAGATAATTATTTTCGCGAATACTTATCTGATAATTAGCCAGCCTGGGTAATTACTCGTAATTGATGCATATAAAAGAAAGTATTTTTAATTTATTATATATATATCACTCTCTCTCCTTTAAAATTCCTATTAAAAATCTATGTTATCAATGTTCACCCTAATTGCCTGCCTTTGATTTTTAGAATTTATTTTTATCTCCTAATAAATTAGAGATCCCACTGACATTAGTGGCCATAAGGCCACTAAGGAAGTACTAAGGATATCATCCTCGTCATCTGCTTTAGAAACTGTATTAATGTTTTCTTTGTCACCTGGTTTTGGTTATATGCTCTCAATCATAGTTACATGTTATTAACGTTGATAATTATCAATACGTTATTATCGTATATAATTAATTATCCAGTGCAACTCTGTCGAACGGTAAAGAGAGTGCCTCAGACAGACTGTCCTATTCGAACGAAAAATCAGCTATGCTCTTGGTTATATTATGTTCTTATAGGGGATGGTTGATGCGTATTGCGTCTAGATATAAGCTTTGGTGGCGCAAAGGTGTTTTGTTTTTGAGAAAAGAATGCAATTGAATGTAGACTGTTTGTGTATGAAACAAGGCATTATATTACTCCACTGTCCTTCCATTTGTCAGCGGACTGCATCTCCGTATTAAGTAGACAGTGGAGACACAGAAAACTATTGCCGCTATGACCCTTAGTTGCACTGGACCGGATTGTTTTATCCTACTAATATTATAAATGTGAATGTTAGTATGTTTATTACTCAATCACGCAAAAACTACGGAACGGATTTGAAAGGACAATGGCGAACTCCCATACAATTTTTTGTTGAAAAATTTTTTTGCGTCTATAAATGAATTACAAAAATAATGTTTCCCGATATTTTTGATAGATAGTTAAATATAGTTGAAGCGTAAAGCAATGCAAAACATACGAACAACATACTTGAGAAAATAGTAGTATAGAAAATAGTCAATTGTGTTTCCCTTTTTTAAGTTTTTAATTCCAGGCTTAGACAACCCTCCTCAATTATTTATTAAATCTTTTGAGATTATTTTATGAACATTTCTGATAATGACATCTATAGACGCTAAAGATTTACTGCAACAAATATTTCGCCATTGTCCTGTGGTACGCATATTAGTTTATGACCTGGATTGGGAAATAGGATACTTTTTATCCTGGAAAAGTGTTAGGTTCCTGAGGGATATTCAAAATCTAAAGTTAAGTGAAGCAGACGAAGTCGCGGGCGGCCACTAGTCTTGAGATAAAACGAACTTTCAGTACTAAATAGGTACATGTGATATTTAATTTAATTTAAACACAGTCCAAAATAAAATAACGAGTCAGAGTGTGACTGGTTGGGAATGATTTAAGAAAGGTCTCACAACGTGACACAGTGTGGTGTGACTGGTTGGGAATTATTTAAGAAAGATCTCCGAACGTGTTACACTGTGACTAGTTGGGAATCATTTTACAAACTTCTCCCAATAGTACAGTCATTTGGTAGTTTTACCTGGAATGTTTTCCGGGAGTTTTAAAAATTGGTTATTTTATAGATTTTGAGGTGTTCTTTCCGAATTTCGACTTTGCCACCTCGTATTTTTGCCGCTCGCGCCGCCATATTGGAAAAATGGCGCCTAAAATCAGTTTTTTGACAATATCTCCTTTCCAACTCATTTTACGATAAAATCAGTAATTCAAAATTAAACTAGAGACAATTGCCTACTATTTATGTATCTACCTTTTTTTTCATAAAGTCAATAGTTTTGCCGTACGAGCGCCGCAAAGTGTACTCCAACGCGCGCTTTGGTCATTACTCATTATTCATGCAACCTGTGGCATTTAATTTCAACTCATTATATTTGTGAGTTATTAAATTAATGTAAATCTAAACTTTACTGACTATAGATATTATATTATACTATAATAGACCCATGATGTAGATGAAATACCGGTCTGTGACGATTCGATTGGTACTACAGACGATG